AAGGGTAGACATAAAACTGCACTTTTAATTCGTACAAAAATCGGCATTTTATGCAATTACTGACGTTACTCATTAAATTATTGACGAATTAAGAACCATTCCTTACTTTACAAGTGACAAATAATAACATTACTAACATTATTTAGTAATTACTTATACCGAACACTGTATGATTAAAATGTAAACTTACGCATTGACTCGGGCAGCTATTTTCCCCCAAGCTAACTCTTTCTCTATTGCCGCTGCAGCCGTGTTGTTTTTTTGTTTTTTTTTTTTTACGAAATATGGGCTCGTAGTCACTATATGCTTGTAGTAGCACATCCATTTCTGTCGGGGAAAAACGCAGACCTATTTTGGCTTGGTCCTGTTGCCATGGTGACTCGTAATTTCTTCACTCCATTGTTCAGGGCTTTTTATAGTCGCGTGGCACGCGCCTAACTTTGAGTCAGACAACTCAGAGTTGATTAAACCAACTCTTTTCAGCTGTTCTGAAACCGAAAACTCAGAGTTTTCCAACTCTGAGTAAGTCAACTCAGAGTTCAGGTTTGAACTCTGAGTTTGTTAAACCGCCTTCTTGAAATAGGCCCCAGGCAATTTGACTTTTAAAACATCACCGACACCAAAACACCGCTCCTTCTGGCTTTTATTTTGAAAATAGCAGAACTGTGTACTTCCGGTGACGATTTTCAGGTGAGCCTCTGCTCGGGTTTGAGCGGGACTTCACGTTGTGGAAGGCTGGTAACGGCTTGAATCACGATTCTGTCCTCCCTCGATCTCAGATCTAACACATCTGACCCTGTGCGCGCTCCAACGCTGAGTCTAAACCGAGGAGCGTCCGAAATGCGGTTTGTGAGTCGTCACGCATTTTGGAGAAACGTCGGTTTGTGTTAATGTGGTTGGCGCGAAGAGGAAGGTAAAGCCGATGGAAACGCCTTCACTGATCTCACCAATAAATCTTCATGACAAACTCATATTTAGTTGTGACCGAGGCTTAGTACAACGTGATCATAAGCGATCACTTAATAAGACTTTTTATTTCTGGAGGCATGGACAGGGCTAAAACCTTTAGATCTTCGTGATTGTTACACACACACAAACCCATAATACCACACAAAGGAAGTTATCCAAGGTGCCACATCTGGCTGAGAAGGATCTAGCCTCTGCCTTAATTGAAACCTGGGCGCCTTGTCCCATCTCTAGCTGTTTGCTGCTCTGTGGCTTCCTGCAAACACGGCCTGCGTGTTCGCTGTGCGCCAATTCTGTTTATTTTGTCCATGAGAAATTGTATCACAAACATATAGTAGTGAGCCACTTCATACATGTCCAACAGTCCCAAAGCGGTGTCTTACCTCTGTCGTGCTTTCGCGAACACTGGAAATGGAAGAGAAACTCTATAGACACGCCCACATAGTGAACCAGCTGAGGGCCCACCCATCACCCAGCACCAACTGGTGTGTTGACTGTAATGTGAAAATGAGCCTGCCATGACAAAACCACCACTGGGGGCGGGGGCCTTATCAAATGCTAAAATATGTCCCAAATGCATCCATAACACATCATCAGAGTTTAATAACCAGTTGAGAAAATCAGAATTACTAACCTAAAACATAATAACTCTCTCAATAAATCAAATTACTAATCGAGTATAAAGAGTTTAACTTTGTGAGGAATTTACAGTTAATCATAAACAAACCAAACAGGTCAGTCAGTAAAATACTTAAAGTGTAACAAAGGAATCAATACTTTGAAATCATACTGCAATAACAGGAAGACCGCACTGTGCTTTTCACATCCATGTCCAATGAAATCTCAAATCAGTCACAATATTATTTTTTTAAAAAAGGGTAAAATACCACACTAAACATTTATCAGAATTACATGGCAAAACAATCATGAACAAACAGAACAAGGGCAGCAAAGACAACCATGAACTATGTGCCAAGAACCTACAGTTTGTCTTGTTTAAACAAAGCCTATGTGTGGTGATCCGTTAAGCTGTGCTACTGTCCAGGGCCGTTGGAACCGAGGTCCACACAGTTCATTGATTATTAACCTTTTCATGCATAGTGGTCACTACATTAGACGGCTATTTAAAAGCTGTTTTCTTGTATGCACATGAGTTCTGACTGTGTAGTTGCATATCACCCATTACAGTGGATGCTAGCGTGTCATCCTATACTATGCCACCCATTGGTCAGCCACTGTTTAGTGCAAAAATATTTTTTCAAAACCAAGATGGCTGATGGAAAGCAAGAAAGGCTGAGTAGCTTAGGAGGCTAGCCAATCGTTCTTGAGGAGGAGACCCCTGGAGGTAAAAAAAATCATATGGTAGCATCAAGTAACACCTAAAGAAACATACTGGTGTTAATCATAATTCATGCATGAAAAGGTCAACATGATGCTGCATGCATAACTTGAGGCAGGTGTTCTGACTAATTAGGTTGCTAGGATAACTTCAAACTAAGGTGTAGGCCATAACTGAATAGTTCAGAAATATGTACAAATCCAGATGAATAAAAGTGCACGTACTGAGGTTGGCACCCCACATGGAGTTGAGATGTTGGAAAGGAAGACAGTATATTTAAAATCATTTTAAGATGTGAACGTTGGATTCCAAAAGGTGAAACACATTTCATGGCGAAAAGAATCAGCAGTCCTTTAATTTAACGGTAGTCGGATTCTCGTTGTGACTGGTCCAGGTGAAGTGGGTGTCCCCCCCCCGACCACTGGTGACGGTAGTGAGCAAACTGCTGCTTGGTGCACCAGAGCGAGGAAAAGGAGACTCCAAAACACACCAGGACAAGCTACATAAACCCGTGATTTGTGCTCTATTGGAAGGGTTTTCAAACATTGTAGTGTGCGTTTACAAGAGAAAAGACTTCACAGTGATGGTGAGTAAGTGGTCGGTTTAGCAGGTGTGCCCAGTTTGTTTACCCAGCCCTGTTAAAATATTGTGCACAGACATGTCCCGACTGGGAGATGTGTCCAGTGAGGAGCCGGTCCTGACCAGGACTAGCCTAGGCTATCCACCTCACATGCACATTTATTGCATTAGCAGGGGATTTTAGGCTATAACGATATCAAAACAATTTCATTCTGAAAATAAAAACGTGTTCAGACACATAATACAAAACCTCAGGGACCTCATGGCCGGCTGTGGCCCTGTTACTTTCCACCCCTTCCCCCTCCTAAACGCCTCTCATGGCCCTCTTTCAGGGACGAGGGGCACACCACCTCTCAGGCTTCACCCACTGCAGGTGAGGGGGGCATGGTGGATGACTTGTCAGAGTTGTGAGCTACGGCAGAGGTTCAGTGATGGGGGGTTGTGCAGAACCCGGCGAGCTCAGGTCAGCAGGGGGAGTCTATGGCACATAAGACAGGTCAACATTAGACTAGATCCTGCTTCACTCAGTACAGTAGTTAGTTCTTTCTTTCCATTTCTCTCTAGCAGACTGTGTTACTGTCACAGCCTGTTTACAGGTCTGTCCAAGGCAGTGATCAAGCAGCTTAAAGACCCCACGGCTTTTCCTTGGTTTCTGACTTACTGTATCTACAATGTTACGATGGTGAATTATCATCTTAGACGTGACCTAAAGCTCAAAAAAACGAGGTGAACATATGTTCTAGTACTTCTGTGCAGGAGCAGGTCTGTTCAATACCTTGGTTTCTATTTCCATACACAATGCCCAGAATGCTTGGACAAAGTCTGCACCATAACATCCCCATAAGATCTACCACACACCAAAGTCTCATCTGGATCCAAATGATATTCCAGATGTGCTGATCCAGAATGTTCACAATTGTAGGGCTCAGATACTTCTACAGACTAATTCTAGCTGAAACTCTGCGGACTCACTACGGTGTCAACAGATCTGAAGTATCTACAGGGGTTAACGAGCAGAAAACCACCATTAGTGAAATATCAGTTTTCTTGAATAACTTTCAAACTAACAAAGATATTGATGTGATTCCAAATGCCAGGGGGAGGTTTTCATGGTCAGAGAATCATATTATGAGGGTCAAACTATCATGGGATTATTGCTTATCCTTGTCCTTTTTTGTTGTCCAGTAATACCTTCTAGCTTGTTTATAAGTATACTGGTACCTGTACCGTAGTTTAAACTCTTCAGTTTTTCGTTTTATTTCTTGTTTTTGTCTGTGTACTTTGGGAAACGTGTTTTCTAAGCAGTTCCTTTGAAATCAAATCCATTAACTTAAATAAAGGTCATCATAAACGTGTAAGAGGTGACTAATTACTGACCTAACTCAAAGGACATCTATTCAGTTTTCTTAGACAGCCATGGCATTTTTGTGGAGATAGTTGGAAACATCTTGAAGAAAATGAAACTCCAGGGGACTAGTCCTAGCAGCCACACAGGTGATACCTGAACAGCCAGGACTACCAGCAGAATCAGCAGCACCAGCAGCAGGAGGGGTTTCCAAATGCTGAAAATGTTGGTTTGCTGCTCAGCAGCCTGCCTCGCATTGACCTCCTCTTTCCTCCACAGCATCTTCTTCCTCATCTCCAGATCGGCCCCCTCGTACCGTTCCTTCAGCTCCGCCTCCTTGCGGCGGATCTCAGCATCTTTCTCTGCCAGGATGTTCTCCTGTCTCTCCCTGATCCTCCTCTCCTTTTCAGGATACAGCGCTGTGTGGTAATGACCCCCTCCGTTCAGGGCCATCAGGGTCTGGATCTTTGCGATGAAGCTGGTCACCTGCTTCTGGTCTTCCGGCTCCTTGTTGTTGAACACATGGAAGCCACCACTGCACTTGCGTATGAAGTTGCGGAGGTTGTCGTCGCTCTCGGAGATGACATCGTTTATAGTTTTTCCTTCCAGCTGATCTCCGTGCGTGAAGAGCACGATGGTGTAGTCCCACACTTTTGGACCAAACAAAGTTTCGATCAGTGCGGTGGTGTTTTGGTCTTCCTGGGTCAGCCTGCCTAAAGGCACTACAAACACAAAGGCGTGAGCTCCTGGCTCCTGGAGTTTGACACACATCAGGATCTCTCGGACTATGTCCTCCTTGTTGCGGTCGGTCTCAAAGAGCCCTGGCGTGTCGATCACCGCGACGGGCACGTTCCCAACCTTCCCCACCTCTTTCTCACAGTGTCGAGTGACTCTCGTCAGCTTCATGTCGGATTTAAACGCCTGTCTACCGAGGATGGTGTTCCCACTAGAGCTCTTGCCAGCTCCACTCTTCCCAAGCAGCATGATCCTCAAGGTGGGCTCCTCTGGAAATGCAACACAGGAGAAACATTTTATTTCACATTTTATTTTCATTGATTTTTAGAGCTTCTGAAGGGCTGAGGAAGGCCGACCTCTCTAGTAGTGGTGGGCGGATTGATCTAAAGTATCGATACTTGCGTATCAATTTCTCTATTTTACATTTGAGTACACAACCCGTTACACTCCTCTAGTGATGGCTCCGAAACTCGAAGCAGCATTTTCCTTGAACCACAACGCTGGCTTTGGTGCGAAAAACACCGATCAAGTCTGAATCACATGACTATACCAGTCCATACTGCTTCGTAGCCCGAGATGCTTAGTAACGTGAAAAAATATAGTTTCATAATAAAAATCTTTGAATCTCCATCCCACTTACATAAGTTATTTTCAGCATACCTGAAATGGTTCAATACTGGTTCGTCACTACACTCCTCTCACTTCACTCATGCTCGGTTTGCCCTTCCCCCTCTCCTGCTGTGAGTTGTTGTGCTGTTATGTTATATAGTTTCTGAACAAAAATCCAAAAATATTTATTTAAAACGTTTCAACGTCATTAATAAAAAGTATTTTTTTATTTGCCTACAATCTTTGTCCTGTGTTTTATTATGATCATAATCACAATCAACTAATTGAAATTCAGAAATTACAAAATCATTCAATGATCATGAAAATTCTAATTTTCAATTTTCATTCAAATTTGCATATTGCATTCACTTGGTGAATTATGAAGCATTGTTCTACACAAAAGCAGTTAAGCTGTTTTTCTAAGTGAAAAAGTATCTGTATCGGTATCGCCAATACTGGCCCTGTGTTTACTTGGTATCAATACCAAATTTTGCAGTATGGCACACCACTAGTTGGAGGTCAAAGACAGAAAGGTGGGGTAGAGCGTGTTTGTAGAGAGGATAAAACAGTAGGGATATTGCCATTTGTGATCTTTTGCAATAAATCCCACGCCTTGCTTTCATTGTACAGTGAAACACATTTCCTAACTGTGCATATGACAAATAAAGATTTTGACCTTGCTTCAAGATAACAGAATCATCACTGGTGTCTGCCTGACTTGTACTGGCCCAGGTCAGGGTCTACAACAGGCTCTCAAGTTTATCATTCTGAAATAACTACAGTCTATTTGGAGTTATAATGGGTACAAAGCTAATCCAGAGGTACCTAAGATTCAACGTGGCTGAAAATGAGCAAAATGAGCAGTCATGGGCCCTTTAAGTGTACAAACAGTGGAATTGCCCATTTCATCATAGCTATTATTTATATTTCTAGGGAAGGCCACAGTTAGCTTGTCATGCAGTATGTCCCCATAGTGCCGCCTTCATTGCAAATACATGACATTTCAGATAACCAACTTATTGCTGCTGTTAATACACACTGAATGTGATGCATATTGTGCAATACCTGGAGACAAATATGTATGGAGAGATAGATTCAACAATCACGATAAAGGTCTTTTATATAATTAAACCAAAATTTATAAATGTGTGTGAAGATTTGTGGGTGTTTTATAGTGTTTGCAAATACATTATCCAACCCACAAATATCAGAGTTTGAACACATGCTAAAATAAATGACAAATAAATACATCAGGGCTTCAATAAAGATCAGTTTTTAATGCATCTGTATATTTATAGATGTATATAAATGTCTAAAACAGTTGTAAAAGGTTTTCCCCCTTAGGTGTACAAAGTGTGACTGTATCAGACAGAAGACAAGACGAGCTGACAGGTCACCAAGTACCCTGACTGATCTAAGGTCATATTGTCTTGTACTTACAGTAGTTTATCTTTAGAGTTGCCTTATGTTTTCTTACAAGTGAAGGCTCTAACATAACAACCAGCTCAGCTAATCAACCCCATTGTTTACTCTAACTGGGTCAACATGCAGGATTTGGATTCCTGTGGTTGCTGTTAGCTACTACACAGCTAAAAACAGTGAGATGTGATTCAACAACATGTGACTGCAGCTGTTCCTGATTTAAAATCACGTGTTTTAGATACATATTTGTTACTATTCCAGGAGGAATTGATCTTTACAGGCAGTTAAACAGCCTAACTGAAATACTGGCTTAGTAGGTGTTACAGGAGTAAATATGAGAGTTCAGAGTTATTTTCATACTTACGTTCCCCCAGCTCCTGCTCGGCATCGGCCACGTTGTCAGAGGACATGGCAGAAGCAGGTCAACCGACTGGACTGTCACTAAAGCTGCCGGTTTCTGGATAATGTCAGCAGTAAGTTTCTGACGCAGCTACTCTCAAACTTTCTTTGTTCAGGTCAGCTCTTCCTTTCGCTCTGCCCCAGAAAACACGCCTTTTAAAGAGCAAAGTGAAAGTAAAAGAATTCAGGGCAAATGCAATGAGGTTTAACTGGGTAATGAAGCTCAGTGGTTTAAGTTTCACAGGGTTAAAGGTTCAAAGGTCTAAAACTGCTCTCTGTTGTTTAGACGCCAAAGGAAGCCTGAGTACAGATGACTGTTGTAGGCAGGAGACTTCATTCCTGGCAGTGAATTGATTCATATAAATATAAAACTTTGAGTTGTTGGTGTTTTGTGAAACAAAGGAAACAAAAACCCACTGAAATGTAAGGTGACTCCATTACTTTGTAGTACTCTGACAAAGACACGTAGGGATGTAAAAACTTCAGTTGACTGCAAACCAGTGGATCAAAAGCGCCATCTAGCAGCCGATACACATGACAACACAGACAAAGCTAAAGGCCATGGCAGATCCACAGTGGGGTCAGGAAGTGGGAGCAAACGAAGCCACAGCTTGTTTCATAAAAACAACTGCACATCAACTCAAGTACTAGGCTAGTACAAGTACTTTACTTCAGTGTTTTCCCTTTGAAGCAGCTACTTAATACTTCTACTCCTCTACATTTCAGAGGGAAATATTGTACTTGTTTCTCTGCTACATTTTTGACAACATCTAGAACATCTGGTAATAACTTAAATCACAAGGTTATTTTGAGTGTTTGTGCCAAAAGGTGAAATCATTTCTACTTCCTTTTAATAAAAGAAACTAAAATGTCATTGGACTTAATATTTGTCTAAAGTCTGTGGTTGGGTCAGAAAAGATCTTCACACTGTGGCCCACTCAGACAGAAACTGTGCATTTGAGGAGAATGTTTTTATTGGATGTTAGTGCAGCAAAGTAATGAACCAAAACACGTGACAAGTTTTCAAAAGCCTGATCCCGGCAGGGGAGAAGAGTTTAAAGCTCTCCAGCCTTTCGCCCTGCATCACTTGCGATCAGCCAGTCTCTGCAGGAGGGCGATGACTGTGTCCTGTTTGGAGGAGAGCAGCTCCAGGGCTGTGGCGATCCTGCCCAGGGACTCTGCCATCCGCACCTCCCTCCTCTCCCGCCTCTTTTCTCGGGCTTCCACCCTGCGGCGAGCCACTCGATCCAGGTAGGCCTGCTCCTCCTGCCGCTTCAGAATCTCCTGAAACAAAGCGGCGCTGCACTGCTCCTCGTTTCCCTTCTGGTTCTGTCCTTCAGCTCCTGACATGGTTGTAGAAGACAATGAGGTGGCAACAGAAGACGTGAGACCAGAGGATGTCGGAGGGAAGGAGGGGGAGGGGCCAAGGCGATTCTGATTGTTGCTTAGTGGCGCCACATTGAGGCGAAAAGGAATGACACCTGACGAGAAGGATGGAGTTTTACAGCTTACGTAGCGAGATGCGTTGGGGTCTGTGTTACTGGTCGAACCGAATGAAGGGGAAGTAGAGGCTGTTTCTGTGAAACAAGGGGAGGAGATAAAAGTCGGAGCTGGCACAATGGTGGCTGGGTGAATGCTGGTTGTAACAACGTCACCGTTGAGGACAATCAGGGGCTTGAGCTCTGGAGCACTGGTTGGACTTAAGGTCGTTGTAGTCACTGAGGTTATGGCAGCAGCGCTACTGGCGGCTCCCTGACCGGCCGACTCCACAGCAGCAGCCCTGGCAAAGTCGCCATTACTAGGACGGACGATGGTGGAGGGCTGCGGAAGCTGAGGTTTTGCAGCAACCTTCACAGAAGGACAGGGCGGTGCAGAAACAGCGTTGCCACCTTTGTTTCTCTTGTTGGTGATGATCTGAGTACCGACAGTGTCACAGAGCGTGGCATCCATCAGCTATGGTGAGAGAAGGCAGACACACAGAGAGAAACCACTCAGGTTGTTTGTCCCCCCTGGCTCTGCCGGTGAGCAGGTGATATCTCACACCTATTCACACAACAGAGCCGTCAATTCAATAGACTGTGTTTAACCAACTGCTGTTATCTGACCTGTGCTTCTGTTCTGAGCCGCGGGTCTCTGATCATCACTATCGCTTCTTTAATCACTCTAATCATTTTATTTAGGTTTCTGTACTATGTTTGATGTATTAGCAGAACAATATTAACAGGAGTGTATTCCTGGTCATACACCAAGAATCACAGACATTTGTTTACAGTGAAACGTGTGTGTATTTAACAGATGACCTTTGACCTTATTTGTGCAACTTCGTATGAGGCCCCACAGTCTGCATTCATAGCTGTGTTTAAGGCGATATACGATTTTAGAATCACCATGAAAGGTAACTACAGTATTCTAGCTTCAGGATGTGGACGCCTCCAGCCACTAGAAGCACCACCTGTAGAGCGCAGTTTGTAGACAGAGGAAGTTTGTGTGAGAGCAGGCAGGTTTGTGTTGCTGTTAATCTCAGCCGAGCTCATCAAAGTAAACTGGCTGAAATGGGAACTTGTGAGTCGAGATCTTTCTTTCAACATTCACTTAGAATGAGATGGAAAATTCCAGCCTTTCAACAGCGCTGTAATCCAGGTTTTATAAATAAACGCCAACTTCCACCTGCAAGTGGCTCTGTCTTCATTACACAAATTAAATCTTTCATTATTATATACTGAGATAAAAGTCTGACTTTTTATCAGGGAACGTTTCCAGCACAGTTGTTATTCATTTGGATCGATTGATTTGAACTGGCACAGTTTGTAAGCACTGCAGGATGTGGAGAAATCTAAAGGTAACCCACCTACAGTTCCTAAACTAAACCACTTTTCTTACAAAACTCATGAGAAAACATGTTCAATCAGAATGGCTTGACTTTCCAGACCCGATCCAGGTCCATTCCTTAAGTCATAATTACCCCCAAAGTGAATAAAACAGAAAATGCCTTATCTTTTTTAAAAATGGTTTCATATTTGGTTTCCTGTGGCATCAACACATTTTAATAGCTTCTACTGGACTTACATCAAAAAACTCCCAGGATGTTTTAGCGTGTCCCGTCTCCCGGCTGCGGTCTTTAACCCTCTTGTATGTGACAATGAGGTTGTTCCACTTGCGGCGAATCTTTTCAACAGGAAGCACGTGTCCCTTGGAGGCCATCTCCTCCTGGACGCTCTGGAAGAGCTGGGAGCGTTCCCGGGTCTCGTACAGGCCCCAGCGGCGCCCGACGGCCTCGATCAGACACAGAACGGCTTTGGAGGAGAAATCTGAGCCACAGGGAAGCGTCTTCTCTGAAGAAGCAGGTGGCATCACTGAAGCTGGGAGGAGACAACGGTGACTGATTAGTTTCTGTGGAGATGAATGGAATAACTCAGCTGTATACTGATATTTAAAGCCCCTGAAGTGTATTTTCTCAACCAGCTTCTTATTGTTAGTAATGGGATCACACATTAATACGGCACTTTCTACCGAATCTTGACTGCGTTTGGTTATTTCCCATAATATCAATGTCAATATTTCTGTTTTTGCTCTCTCATGGTGCAGTCAGACTAAAAGCTGTAGGTGAACTGTACCTGTGTGGTGTGACTGGAAGCAGCAGGGGTCAGGAACCCACAAGCTAACAACAGTTCACAGAGCTGTAAATTAATCAGCGTTTTGTCATTAACCTGTCGCTGTGCTCACGCTGACTGCAGCCAAACAGCATCTTCTTCTCTGCTGCTTGTTATTTCACCGTGACGTTATAAAACATCATGGTGAAAGTTAGAAAAGAAAGTAAAGAGAAGTTGTGCACTCACACCGGAGAACCATGTGAGTTTGTGGATTAACGTTCAGTCAGGCTGAACAGTGTCGTGCCTGTTTCACACAGACATGAACAGGAACTTTGATGTGACTGGAGCCAATCCCAGGTGACACTGGGCAAGAGGCGGGGTCCACCCTGGACAGGTCACCGGTCTGTCACAGGGCTGAGATGTAGAAAAACAACCACACTCACTCCTATGGACAATTTAGAGTCACCGATCAACCTAAGCTGCATGTCTTTGGACTGTGGGAGGAAGCCGGAGCACCTGGAGAGAACCCACGCAGGCACAGGGAGAACATGCAGACTCCACACAAAGGCCCCGGGTCGGCTGGGGCTCAAACCGGGAACCTTCCTGCTGTGAGGTGACAGTGCAAACCACTGCTCCACCCTGAATTTATTATTTATCCTTGTAGTCATGAAACATTTAATTGAAATATCAAAAATTTAACCCGACATTTGAATCTCAGTCACACTGTTGAAAACAATACACCATATTTTTGGGACCTAGAAACGAGTCATGATCCTGGAAGCAGTGGTGCATGATCTGCCCTTTAAGAGTTTGAGATACAATATATCTATTCTAAACGTATTACATTTCATTTGTACAAGTTTTAGTCAAGAGTAACACTGTATTACCTGCTGCAGAGGGTTTCTGTCTGAACTCATCTCTACTTTTACAGAACAGTTCGGTCTCCCTTGCACCTGCAGTCAGGTGTGTAGGAAGCACAAGGCTTTTTTTTTATTCTGACAGTAGAAGCCGCTGCAAGTAAATGACTACAGGAGCTCATATGAGTCCTGCAGCTAACTACGACTGAATTAATCTATTAACTGTTCAACTGTGAAACAACAAACCTGAACATGACAGCTTCAAATGTCTTGTTTTGTTCGACCAAGCATTTACAGCAGGATATCCTCTCATTCGAGAGGCTGGAATCAGTGATATTTGGGACTGTTTTACTATTTATGACACTATTTTTTTTATTAAATGAATGACTAATCAGTGAATCAACTAATTGTTTCAGCTCTTGCTGGCACTGAGCACAGCCACAGTGGCACCTCAGTGCATCATTACCTGGAGCAATCTTCAGATATG